ACTGTATGAATTAAATATAACTCCCTGTAAGGGTATCTATGATAACATGACAGTATGCAAGGTCATGGCGTGAGGGGAATGACAAGTGTTCCTGTTAAGGTAAGATTTATTGTTCATTACAGTTCCCAACACAGTGCACTCATGGATTTAGACAGGCTTGGAGCTAACTAGCGGACGTCAAGTGAAACTTTACATGAAAAACCAGGTCCAAGCATTGATCATCTTTCTAACCTGTGGTCAGCCAATTATCTGCATCTGGCGGCACTGGCGCTATGAACAAGGGTCCTCTTTTCTCTAGTGTCTCAGCTCCAGTCTTTCCCCCAGGTCGCCCATGACACTGGAACACTAATTACAACTAATTGTTCCACACTGAATGGATTTAGTCACTTTGCAAATGATGATGCCATTGGTCAGTGTCACAGAGTTTCCACACAAGAAAAATCAACGGGGGAATAAGAATTTGCACAAATGAATGTAATTAAGAAGCACATTTATTTCGTCTAATTGCATGAGAGAAGACTTCAAGTGAAAGCGAGATTGGGTGCAATATGAATAATTAACGTGGCTAACTGTACTGAATACTACAAAGTTGTCAGTGTCAAGAAATCACATGCATAAGTCTCAGGGTGGAAAACAAATATTGGTTGTAAAGAGCCAAGCTTAAGAATATAACCACTCAATCCTCAGCTGTCTTGAAATCTCCACTTTTCCATGATTGTGTCTAGACAGTTGGATTCCAAGCTACAATGCTACTTAGAACCACAAACATTGCGGGCTTGTTAGAAAACCTTAGAAATTCAAGCAGTATCAACGTGTTCGGAACACTAGATCAAGTCAAGTGGCCTTTTCCAAAGACAAGCAAAAGGGCAGTTGTTAATCAGTCAACTGGAAATTCAGACTGAGAGCTATTATCAAGACTAGGGCCACAGAAATCAGAGAGACCAGACCATGGCACGGCAGGGACTCAGTTCTTAATCTGATTATAGGTCTGTAGGCACCCGGGACAGTGTATACTCTATTATTTATTATAGAAAAGCAGTACAACTATTATTATTATTTTTTTTTTTAATAAAAAATAGTAATACATATTTGCTGATACAGAAATTATGTTTTAAGTACCTGCATTTACTAATGAGCTTCACAGTAAAGTCATTATAATCTTATTAAAGAGAGTATTTAAAAAGGATCGACATTTAATCGCAGATTTAGATTGTAGACTGACAAGGTGTAAGCTGGTCATTTGAAAGCCATATGCCACAGATTAAGATATTCTGCTATAGCATAGCAGTGCTTTTCATGTTCTTTCCACTAATGCACTACTTCAAAAAACGGACTTTCCTGAGCTGCTTGTAAGTGGGCAAAGGCACACAGCTTTTAAATCCCTCAACTCCGACAACAGGAGAAAGAAATAAGTATATTACAAATCATCCAGAGAACAAAATTGTCTATTGTTAGAGAAATGTGCAGGATTTAGGCGAGGGGATTTGCTCCCACTTTGCTGCACTTTGTCTGAAAGCTTAGCACTGTTGGCTGACATGGTGATTTCCATCATTCAGGAGAAGCTTTTAGGGATGTCATTTTAGTAATTCTGGAAAAGTACAGTCCATAAACATAACCAGCACATAGCATGACTAGTTATCACCTCAATAATAGAACAAAATGGTATGGGGTTCTATGTATTGCATTAGAAACAACAGGCTGCAGTTATTTGGTGACAGCCCAGTCACACCCAGTACATTCAAATGAAACCGACTGAAACAGGGACAGTGCTGATGTGCCAAACACAAACTCTCAAGTGGAACAGCTCTTATTTTTCAAGACGCGCTGCATCGCATATCATTATGTATTCTTCGTTTTGATGTTTTGATGAAGTGTTGCTATTTGGCCAAGAGGGACAGGTACAATTCATCACATCTAATTGTCGTGGATGTGCACTTCTGTATAAGGCAGTAGAAGACAGATTGTTGGGGGTTGGACCTTAAACCAAACATGCTAATGATATTTATATTCTGCTTTTAGCTGTTTGTTAAGACACAAGGGGAAAAATCAAAAGGAATAAAACAATGTATGACAAGGGATAAGGCTGTGGAAGAGTGATGGCAGGGTACTGGAGTCAGCCCACAGGGGGAGCTGAGGCCCGTAAAACCAGCAGCCACCTCCCTCATAAATAATAGATACATAAAATGTCATATGAACTTTATTTCAAGTGTGGGTGTGCTAATAAAGATGCAGGTTTAAAGGAGTTGAGAAATTCATTGTCAGAAGAAGGCCACATGCTCCGCCTTTGGCACAGACAATTACTCAGAGCAGTTGACATTCAGGAGCAGTCTTAAGCACCTTTTAGAAACAATGCTTTTCTGAATGCACAGTTTCTGCCTCGTGCCTTATTTCTCCATCTCTCTCTTCTATTCTCTACTCTTCACTGTATTTCTCTGCCACAATTTCTACTTTTTTGTTCTTCCTTCACAAATTGAGATGACACTATAAGAGATTGCCACAACTGCACAGGTCTGGTGCTCATTGATAAAACTATATCCAATCCATCTGTGCCCCCATCTGTCACCAGAACACATATTTTTTGCAGTGGTCAACTTATGCATTCAAAAGGGTCAAACAACTGAATGTGCCAGACAGGTTAGACACTTTTTATACACTTGCACATTTTTACGTTTAAGCTTCCAGAAAATGTATTTGTTACAGCAGGTAACAAATGTATGTATGTATTTTTTCTGTGATGAGGGATTCTAATAGTAGGAAGAAGTATTAAGTAGGAAGGAACAGTAGTAGGTAGTAGAGTGTTTGTCCACTGATCCCAAAGTTGGAGGTTCAAAGCCCACTCTCGGCATAAAACATCATTGGTTGAGCGATTTGTTCCACTGATCCACAGGCTGGCAGTGTGATTCCAGTTCCTACAGATGAATACTGTTATTGTGTGTGAATGGGTGAGTGGTTCCTTTATGTAAAGAGCATTGAGTTCTTTGAAGGTGGAAAAGAGCTATATAAAAATGTGACCATATGACCATAAGTAGCTTTTTTCATTTTTTTAATCTAACCCACTTGATTGTTGTAATATCTCACCAAGAAAGTAATAATTCTGTTGTAATCTGTATTATACTTTTGTAATCTATGATAATATGGCCAAGAAAAGTGTAAATAGTTTAAGTTAAGATCCTATTTAAATGCAATGTATAATGCTGCCATACAGAATATTAGCCCTATTTATGTATGCAGTATGCTAATTAGGTAATTTCCGTGTATGTACAGTCCATTGGAAAGGTAGTCATTCTACAGCCTTGTTAATATGCAAATGTTCTTCTAAGAATTTAAATCGCTTGATTTCTTGCTCAAATATATAGTATACCTGTATTAGAGGTAATATATAGCCAATGCGTATAGTGGCCTGGAAATATTCAAATACCTCTCTATATTGTTTACATAAGAGTAAATCTGAACATGGACTGTGTTGGCTGTCAGTCCAACCTTACTTTCAATAATAATTCTGCCGCGATAAGGTTACAATTGAACTTGGGCAATGAGCCTTGTGGCCCGATAACCAAAATGACTTTTCTCATATTCAAATACCAATATTACACATAGATATTAAACTTTGTGGCCAGTGTCTCCAATGCAATTACAAAAAGCCCACACAGATTATAATACATTAGCAGCTTCTTCCCTGTTTTAACACATATTACTCCCCGAGGATTGTGGGTAATAAGTTCAGCTTTTGAGTGAGTTTATAAACTATGAGATGTTTGTCGCTGAATGCTAATAGGATGATGAGCGATCACTTCAGTGTAGGAATGAATCACATACATGAATCAAGGGTGTCGCTGGGCGCATTTAAAGAGGCCAGCTGGGACAAGATTGTTAGATATGTTTGTACCAAATGTGTGATAGGAAAGGTCAGCCGCTTGTATAAAATAAAGGCCATGACAAAGTTGGCGGAAGTTGACAAATAGCATGTGGGAAGGACAGTGGGGAATGCAAATGAGAGGGAAATGATTGCAGAGGGATGTCGGCCATCTTGTCTAATGCAGTACAAATGTATTCAGAATCACACTCACAGTGGCACCCATAGCCATGGGTTTGTCAGTACAGCTGCTGCAGGGAGGCAAGACCCATGTGGTCACACTCGAACCACTGAGATAATCAGATGAACAGCAAACTCATGCTCTTATAGCTTTAGACTGACAGAGAACCATACTGCGGCTCCACAGTGCTAGGCTACAGTGTGGTCTCAAAAAGATCTGCTAAATCTGTCTCGGCTACATGCAGTTGGAATGGCTATTGCCTAGGAACATAAATTGTTATTAACTTAAATGCCAATAAAAAGGGATGGTCTGATTTGGACTTTTTGAGCCAATGCAGATATTTGCGTTGCTGCTTTGGCCGATGGCCAAGACACAAGGCTCATAAATGTATGTTGTACCAATACCAATATCACCCATCCCATAAACCTACATGATTGGTCTCTTTCATAAAATTACAGACTGCATTGAAAATAACATTTATAACCTCACTCTGCTTGGGCATGAAATGTTAAAATTAGGACTATGGCAATAATTCTCAAAATAGCAGAAATATGGGCTCGACTATCATTTCTTGGGAGCAGCTACAAAATATGTGGAAATCATTCGAAAAACATACAACTGGATTATCATATGATTCTTCTGATGCAGAAAGCACTTTTTTTCTTTTGTAGTAAAGAAAACTCTATAAGTGCCCCTTGATGGTTAAGCCTTTTTGTAGAGTTTGAATTTGTGTAGCTTTTTGTTAATTGGGCTTTTTTATGAGGAGCAACATTGGGCCGTTAGCCATGCAGTGACAGATGTCTTGTGAATCATTTGAATAAATTCTGCAAGAGTTCTAATTTTAGAGGTATAAACACCTCTTGCGATTTCCCGAAAAGCAGTCGGATTATTTTATGAATAGCAATCATAAATACATTTGTTATTGAGGAATGCAGATGGGAAACCAAATAGGGCAGAGTGACTTACTGGACTCAGGGTCGGAGTTGCCGTCCCCCTCGGTGCGGCTGTTGGGAGAGGTCTGTTCGTAGTACTCGTCCTGGGTGAAGCTGAGGGGCAGAGGCTGACCAGTGCTGGTGGCACTGCTGGGCTCAGGGTCGCCCAGCCCACTGTCACTGCAGCTCTCCTGAGAGCCATCGGGGAGGTGAAAGGTCACACGGCGCTGAGTCTACAACAACAAAATAATACATTTGTTTAGGTTAAATAGTCTTGTTATTAGTGAATAAAAATTCTGTTTAACATAGTGACACTTGGCACATCAAGCAGCAGTACCAGCAGCAAAATAGTAGTAGGAGTAGTAGTGTGCTGAAAATACTTTTTAAATGCTCAGAAACATGATCAAACTGTACCATATCTCCACAAATCGTAGATAACTTTACCAATAAAACCATTGTGCCTGCGTACAGAAATGCGTTAGCCTCTAAATTACTGGTTTGTTATTTGTTTACAGTAGTTACATGAATAACTGTTCTGGTCATTATGTGTTTAACTCGTGACCTTGCTGGCATTCATTCAGTATTCGCCATGACAACCCAGACAGTGCGGTTGCTCAAGGTACATTTACTGAAGTTTGCAAAAGGGTCATAGCTTCCAGTAACCAAGGCATCCATTTGGGTTTTAAATGTAACCTTTAAATAGTTCAGGCACCACAATGAAAATTCATTACAGCTCTTGTTAGTGTTGTCGAGGGTTTAAATAGACTCTTTAAAACACTTAGAAAGCCACTAGGTTGATGCACAGCTTTCTAATGTGCGTTTTGGCATTTCTTGTCTCAGCTGGGCAGCACGTAGTAAGGAAATGTCAAGCTATGCGCAAAGAAAAGAAGAAAGTAAAATATCAAAGTGTTATGTTTTCCAGCGACAGATTCTTAAAATGATTTCACTTATTTAGGTTAGGGGTTGTAGGTGACTAACAGAAGATGTATCAGTGTCCTGATGTTGTGAAGTCTCCAGAGCCACAGTAACACAAAGATATAAACACCAGTTTGAGAGATAGTACGCTGTTTTGGGGATGAAACATACAATCTAATCTTTTTTTAATCTTTTCGACCGAACTGCAGTAGAGGTGTATATCATTTCATTTATAGGTTAGTTCAGGTTATGGGTCCCCTTGCAACTCCCTTATGAGAATACACAGATTTTGATTTTTAAAATGTATTTATTGATATTTTGCAGTATAAACATATAACATTGCTAATTTTTTTTTTTTTTTAAAAGATCCAGGGTTGCATAGAAGGGGTCAGGTCTCTGGGTCAGGTCCACCATATTTCAAGGCTGTTTTTACACTTGGAGACAACAGGTGGAGACGGCTACTTCAAACACTCAGAAAAAAACATTTAACCATCACAGGGACTTACAAGGGTATTTAATGGGGTAAAAAAAATTACTTTGTTCTGATTTAAATTAAGGTTAGGGTAAATTAACGTTATTTTCCATGGGTGATTTGTCCTCTGCATTTGACCTATTCTGTAGCAGCGCTGGGGTCAGCTGTCAAAAGCAGTTCTAGTTTTGAGCTTGTCACATCTGATAGCCCATTTTTTCATTGGGGCAGGAACAGTAACTGAGGGGGCATGGCCAAACACCCCCTCAACCCCCTGCCAAAGATGTTTGCCTTTTTGCCATGGGATATGATATGTTGACTAAAACAGTTAAAATAACAAGCGAATGTTCAAAATGAGGCTATTGATACTTTTCAGAGACATCATGCTGGGGGTGTTCTAAACATTCCACCATTAGAGATACATGTAGCAGTTACCATGGTGACACAATGCACACATTAACAAACACTGACAAAAAAGTTTTAAGACCGCTTCAAAACACAAAGTAGATTTGAACAACACATTTTCAGGAGCCTGTGGTGAGCGTTGATGGTCTTGTGTTTGATTTTCAACAAAAAGGTGAGAGGTTAATGCTATCTAGCCTGTGACTGTAATTTTATGTATGGTAGACTTTTTTAACAGCTCAGATTAAGTCTAACGTGAGTAACAGATACATGGGTGACATCAGCTGCAGAGTATCAATAATAAAGCAAGAAGGGTTTACACAAAAAAGTGGTTTAGAAGCATCTAAATATCACTGTAACTGTAATTTCCACATTCACATGTATGAATTATTGACAGCTATATAAAACACATTTCTAGATAAATGACATCGTACTTTGACATTTAGGAGACCAGTTGTGTATTCAGTACATCTCAGACACTGCATTTATCATCTTTACATGCTTTTGTCAGAACTCATGGCAAAATTGCATCTTGTCACCAGAGGGACTAATTGAAACAGTGGCCCCTTAACCCAAAAATGATTTCTAGTCTGCAGAGTCCCGCAAATGACTGCTGAGATAATAAACGCAGTGTGAGATTTATAATTGAGACTCCGTGATAATAAACGGCAAGTATATTAACAGGTTGAACTACTTCCTAGTTTTTATTTTCCAGATATAGACACAAAAGAGGGACAGGGGGGTGGGTGTGTGGAGGTGCCGACTTTGATTTCTAAAGTCTGACAAAGGATCACAGGCGTCTGGGCATTTTCCTCCAAAAGGTGCAGGGCCCTTTGATACAGCAGGAGGTTTACACAAGTTCAGACTCCAACCTTTCTTTGTGGCTATAAAAAACACTGTTGCGGTAATGTAATAATGCTGTTGCGAAGGACTATATATAGGAATTCGGTCTGATCTGAGTGCTCAGAAAATAAGTAATAAGAAAATAAGTAAAGAAAAGTATCATTATTTGCTTCATATTGATCCATTGTTATTCAGTTGATTCAATTTTATTTTCTCTTATTGCAAACAAACTAAAATACATTTCAATGTTACCTTCCTGTAATAAAAATCAATATTAATGATTTGCATTTAAAGGGTTCATATTACACTATTTTCTGATCTATGTTATAATGTTGTTTCCCCATCACAAACATACTCAGAGTGTTTTGTTTCATTCACACATGTTTAACACACTAACCCTGCATATTTAGGCTAAGTTCTTCTCTCAAACAAAAAACATTTTGTTCCATCTTATGTCACTTGGTACAGGAAGTGCTCCAGTATGTTTGCTCTAAACCACATGCTTTACTGAAACAGTTGCTCCGTAATTCAAACTGGAAACACGTGTGTTATTTTAAAATTGAATGACAATATTAGACCTTGCCTTGCAATGTTACACACTCCATGCAGAACATGAAGAAGGTCACAGGTCATGTTTTGAATGGTAATGTTAGTATTACTACTAGAATACAAAGAGCAGAAAAGATCAGATTTCCTTTAAGCTTGTTCTCGGAGAAAAGAAAACATTTTGGAGGATATACAGCTTCAGAGCCTGTCATGACACTTACCCACACCAGGGCTGCTTCACTATAGAGCAAAAAACACATAAAATATAATTAGGCCTCAGTGTAGCACCTCCTGTTATTCCTACAATATATTTGTTTTATGTTGTTTGTTTTTCATATTTGATATAAGGTCCTATGTTATCGTTCCTTTTACACACATCCACTAACAAAATAAATAAAAAGATGTCATTTCACAAATTCTATTTAAACATATATATATATATTTTTTTTTAAGTATATATTTTAAAATGAGCTTATTAAAATCCAATTTATTTGTTTTGGATCAACAATTCAATGAATGCAAAAGAGTGACTGCCACTCACACTTAACAGCAAGAAGGTTTAGACTTCAGTCTCTGTTCCTCCCTGTGTCTGGATTTCCTCCAGATGTTCTGGTGTTCTTCCATCAACACAAAACATGCACAATAGGTACAATTCTCCAGCTAGAGAAGTCCTGACCAAAACGAAATAAAATCTGGAGATGCATCCACAGGCGCTGCACTGTGGCAACCACTGCTTCTGACAGGAAAAATGGAGACACACATTTCTAACTGAGAGGTAGTCTGAGCCAAGTTAACAAAATGGTTCATTAAAAACTAATCGGTGAAGGTCGGCTAGCCTAAATCTACACAATTAGCAGCCTCCAAGCACTGGTGAGCTTTCGTTTAGCTCTGTGATATTGGACTGGTTAGCCTAATAAGCTGCTTACTTGATTCATCAAACTCCTGAGGCTGCAAATCACTATGTTTATGACCAAGAGGGAGAAAGTACACAGAGCAGCAGATGGACGGACAGGGAAAAGCACTGTTTAAGGTTATCAAGTCACTATTGATTCACTTATTGAACTGAGACAAGAGGGAAATATATGTATGACATTAAGAAGGTGACATGGATGGGTAAATAAAATGCTACATGGTTGGGACCAAGATTATGATAATAATGAATACATGAAATAAAGAGGTGTATTTTAGAAGTGATTCCAATATAAATACAAACAACTATATATTTACTTAACTTATACTTTTACATATTACGTATTTTAGACTTGAGGTATCAGAAAATTCCTGTTTTCACCTACTCCCTATCTCTGCCCACACCCCTACTTATCTGTGATTATTATTATTATTATTATTATTATTATTATTATTATTATTATTATTATTATTATTATTATTATTATTATTATTATTATTTTTTATTTATTTTTTTTGGCTTAATTGTCCCATTTCTCCGATTACAGTATTTTATTTGCTGAATATTGCAGTTAACAAAAACAAAATGAAAAATTATTTCCATATGTATGCCAATGCTTATACCTGAAAAAACATGTATTCTTTAATCAAGAATAAGTTTAGTAAATTATAACTCCAAGTGCAACATTTTTCATTTGCTATATTTTTATAAAGCAAAATTCGAATTGCCACTCTTCATTTTATTAGACAGTAGAGTGATGAGTACCTTGTTGGCAGACCAATTCCTTCTGCATATGTTTACCCACACTTTCAAGTCGTCTAAATACTTTGCCTTGGCAGCAATTTCTAAAATTAATGGCAGAGTGGAGCAAATGCTAAGTCCAGGTTTGTGGTGAAAAAAGAGCCCCACTTACAGCAGCCTGGCAGTGTGACAAAAAGCACACTTTTTCTCCTCATGACTCTAATTATTGGAAACTTCTTCGACAATGCCATCCAAAATCTATGAGAACAAACAGCTGTCTGTGACAATCAGGACAAAACACTTTGGCACAGGGAAGCAGCTTCATTCTGACTTGCAGCACATCCACGGTGCTGCCAGATGCTAAAGAAGTTATTTGATTATCCCCCAAAATTTAAGTTGCTCTGATTTACAATATTAATTACAATTAGAAAGTGTTGAATAAATACTTTTCTCTCCCAGAGGTACCGGAAACAAACATCCACCGTTGAGTCAAGGTGAGTGTTTTGCTAGGCATTATCACTTATTTAAAGACGCTGCCAGGAATCCATAAAGCAAAGACAAGCTGTGGTAAGAGATATCAAGACCAAACAAAGCCTGTTCAGCCTGATAAAACACCGCCTTGAGAAGTATGTACACAGAGATAAAAAAGAACAAGAGCGCGTGTGCCAACTTCTACCCCATAACATGCCAGCCTATCCCCAGCCATTGGTCTGCTAACTGGCCAAACAAATCGCAGATGGGGCGGGTTTTGAGGATTAGAAAGGCCTTATATTTAGATATGGAGAGGTGGGTCCAAGTCTTCTGCAAGGGTTTTAGGTTTTAGGATCTTGAGACAGAGCTGAAGTCCATGAAACAATGCCAAATACAAAAAAAAAAAAAAAATAAAAATAAGAAAATTACATGGTTTGTGAAAGTAGACTGATGCGTAAAAAGATCGACTAAATCAGAGTTTGTTGGTAAAAGCAAAATAATTCAAAACAATATAAGTTTTGTTTCAAGAAAATGAACTGTAACAATTTGTAATAACTCTAGACTAAGCATGAAGAAAGACTTGCAGTAGGAACACTTTTAGTTTATTAAAAATGATTCAGGCTTATTGACTACTCATTACCCAAACTCTAACTCCTCACCCCTTAATTAAGTAGTTACTAAGCCTGAATCATTAATTAAAAAGTATTTGCTCATTATAAATTAACTACACAAGAGTAAGGATGCAAACTGAATCAGGTCAGCAAAGAAAAAGAGGGAATTTGGGGTACAAATAATGAACCATGTCAAGTTCCAACTACATACCAATTCCTCCATTTTGTATACCAGTCTTGACTGATTCAGCACTTACAGGTCCCACATTACTCTGATCTACTTTATAATGTTTCCTCATCAAAACATGTACCTTGAATTGTATTTAGTTTTATTCACACATTAACATGTAAATTCAGCAAATTTAGGCTTTATTAAATTCTTCTCTCAAAAGGAAAACACTCCACCTTCAACCTTGTGATGTCATGTGGTAATACAGGAAGTGCTCCACTGTGTTTATAAACTCCATAGACCTTCATTAGAATCATTTGGATAATTTTAGCCCTGGAATTGTCAATCTGTACAACAAAAGGTAAAAAGTGGCTGTCAACTTGAAAACTACCACTTCATGACATCCCAAGGTGGTACAGAGCATTTTGGACTTTGGAGATGTAGACAGCCTGATAATAGGATTACTCAAAGAGAAGTGAATGGAACAAAACACAACTCCAGGTATGTTTTTGAGGAGGTAACAGCATTATAACATGGATTAAAGCTCACAAGAGTCAGTGCTGCATAATCTAGAAGGTTAAAGTATTTGGAACACTTTGTAGTTATTGTGTCCAAATGGCAGCAGCCTCGTTCTTGACCAGACCACTCCTTCTGGGTTTTTTGTTATTTTATGTCAGTTTTTCCCAACTGCCACTCTCTGGAAAATAGCAGAGAAGAAGTCAGAGTTGCACGGAGAGGGACTTGGCTGACAAGCGCTTCTCTCTGAGTGATAAACAGGGACCACTTAGGAGTGAATCAGGGGAGATGGGCTCTGCCATTTCAGATAAGAATCAGCTCGCAGGCACACCTAGACCCGCATAAATCTGTTCAGAGGAGATGGTGACTTGACATGTCACATGCGGCACAAGCAGAAGGGGGAAAACAGATAAGCAATGTATTTATTCAAATGACAAACCGGGAAAATAACAGGGCCATGTTTTGCATGTGATGTTGCTCCATTCTTTTGGTATGCCGCGTTCCACTCTCTGACTATTATGTGAGGTGATATGCCACTGTGTGCGAAATGTTGACTTAGCAGGAACAAGCGAGAGGGAGGTGATTTGTACTGAATGCGTTAAGAGAGATTACTGGGTCAATTTTGGACAAACGCTGTATGTTTTCCATAATTTTTAGTAGTCGAGAGATGAGCCACTACATTGCAAGGATGAAAACGGTGGTACACTTGAACTGAAATGCTTTTGTGTACAATCGGCAACATTTTCAGAACCTTGGATACGAAGGACAGATAACCTGAGATGTCCTCTTGGTGAGCGAAGAATATTTCATAGTGAGAAATACAGAAGTAATGCAGTAGTGTTTTTCTGTTGAAACTGTCGGAAAGTTTGCTGATGAACTCTTGACAATAGTGCTGGAGAGGACCAAGGCCCACTGAACTGTGTGCATATACTGTGCAAACATAGTACGAGAGAGAGAAAAATACAATGAGAAGAAAATCGAATGGTCTGTGAGTCACTGAGCTATAATGTCCGAGCACAGCGGAATGGAAAAGTGCTAAGTGCTTTTTTAGAACAGAATTCAGTCAATATAAAGATCAACTTGCAGATTTAGTTCAACCTACAGTTCAACATTTAGTTAAAGGTCCTATATATTATGTAAAATGGACTCCTGTGGGCTGTAAGCCATGTTGTAATATTGTTACCTCCTCAAAAACGCATCTGTAGTTGTATTTTGTTTCATTCACAAATATTTCAGCAACCCTTTATTATTAGTTGGTCTACATCTCCAAAGTGCAAAATGCTCTGTTCCATCTTGTGATGTCATGAAGTGGGTAGTTTTCAAGTTAGCAGCTACCTATTATCTCTTGATCAGTAAAGACTGGAAATTTCAGGGCTGAATTTATCCAAATGATTCTATTGAAGATGTATGGAGTTTAAAAACACAGTGCAGCACTTCCTCTACTACATGAACATGCAGGGTTTGTGTGTTAAACATGTGTGAATGAAACAAAACACAGCTCCGTGTGTGTTTTGATGAAAAAACAACATTATAACATAGATCAAAAAATAGAGCAATATGGGCACTTTAAAAAGTAGCTGTCCATCGACAGTCATATTCCCATAACTTCCAGACTATTGAGCACATCTGAAAATAACCCGCATCAACTTAAGTTCTAACAAAATTTTAAAATTGTACATATATAGGCTTCAGGAACGTTTTCAAGTTTGGGCCATCTGCTCTTATCTCCTCTGTCTCACCATTGACTCATTGATGCCAAACTCACGTGGAGCAGCTCAGTTTCCTTCTTCCATAGCCAGATCAGTTGCCTTTAACTTAAAAGCTGCATCATCTGCATTTCTTCATGTATTTTCCAAAACGAGGGTGTGTGCATGAAGTGCAAAACACAATGAAAACAAACATCTTTCTCGGCGCATCACCCCATCTCTCCCCGTGCTCTACTGCGCATGTCTCCTTCAAGAGCCTCTGTCCTGTCTGGATCATGTCAGTGTCATGGAGGATTTCAACAGATTTCAGGCTCTCCTGGGGGCTAGGCTAGTTGTGTCGATCAGGTATGAGTGGATGTCCACTTACTACTGTGTTGTAGTCCACTGTGTTATCAAATCATAGACCGTATATATGAATGGACAATGTGCCAAACATGAATCCATCCATATATTTGCCGCATCATTGTATAAGGCGCAGGGTTCAAAATGTGAGAAAAAAGAACCGGCTTATAGTCCAGAAATTATGGTAGTAGTTTTTCTTGACTCTTGAATGAAAATTAAGTTTCCCAGTAATTCCACAATTGTTATGTCCACCATCCTTTGTTTTTACAACTTGTCGATGGAGCCAGTCTTTTTAACCTTGTACTTACATTGGTGCATAAACATTATTGAGTTCTTTCGACCTCTAGGCATCAGAGACAAATGTACAGTGATAAAGCTATAGAAAAGAGTTCATCAAACTTACATTGACAGACGAGATCTTGCTGAGTTGACAGGCCTCCTGCAACGACACAAGAAAATAGTTATTAAAAAAACTCTCCTCAACAGATTTACAATGAAAAAAGATGTTTAGACTCCACAAAAGAAAGCCGCACTGAGAGCTTCCATTTTTCCCCTCTCAAAGTCAGGCGGTTCAGCATTGACAGCCTGATAGATCTGCGGTTTTGCACTCTGCTTTCATACTCGCGATTGAGATTTTGGATATTGATTCCCCCTCACTCTGAAGCTCCCGGGTTCACAGAGCGGTGGGGCCCTGGCAGACTCTCTCCAGAAATGTACAGACCAGACCGTGCAGGCTTTGACACCTCCACAACAAGAGCAATCCAAGTGACACTTTGATAAAGATGATTTTTCACATGTCACAGAGGGAGAGTGAACGCAATATCAAACGGGGCATCAAGAATTCACAATAAACAATGACAAGCTTCTAAATGAGGAACAAAAGGCACCCGCGGGCTTGCGAAATAGCATCCTCTCTCCGGGGACTGAGATAACTCACATAGAGATAAGAGTATTTAATTTTTAATCACCAATTTTGTTTTCTTTGTACTGTGTATAATAATCCCGGGTACATGACTAGATTTGCAAAGAAAATACAAAGAATGTGTCAGCGAGAAGCCACTTAGGAGGAGGAGAGGAGGAGAGGGGACAATGAACAGGAAATAAGTTGGTGTCAACAGATTATCCGGAGGTAATTGTGCACCCAGGCTTGCTCTCACTGACTGCAAAATAGAGGTGCACCCCCTCAGAGCTGTTCCTCAACTACTAAACACAGCACTGTGCTGGACAGCTAACCCAAATAACACAGCCCTTGCAAACTTGGGGAAAAAAAAACTAACTTCTCACTTCTAAATCATTTATATTCTTCTGATTCTGTTCTGTTACCAAATGTTGACATCTTTCAACAGTTTCAACAAGATTTTATCTTTTTTAAGAGTTTAATTTTGGTAGGTCTTTGCTGTATCATTAACTTAAATGTTGCAATTTAGGAGTAACTACTTTTTAGTTTCTTTTGTTTGTTTTAAAGCAGACCTATTATTTAAAATTAACTTTTCAGAGCTTTTAACCATGCAATAGTTGTTGTTTCCCCTCACCATTTTTATCACCAGAACATGTCTTTGAAGTGATTTGCACATGTTTGAGAAATCTTTAATTGTTAATTTTCAAGAAGCCATTTTGCTGATCAACTCTTGTTTTCACCACCATCAATGTTCTCCAATTGTATCTATTTAAATAATGTGAAATGTGTAGGATTTAGCAGTGTGGTATAATCATTTTGGTACAAATCTTGCTAGACCAGAGGTGCCCAGAACTCCACGGCCCTTTGTTGTGATGATGTTTATAGCGACATCAGCTCCCATTGGACACTGCAGTTTTCTACCATGGCAGCCAGCGGACTTTTTTTTTTTTTTTTTTTTTTTGCAAATTAAAAATTTCAAATTATAACAAAGTGATTCACAAGTGTCATAGATAGAAGACACAAACACAATAGGTCTTCTTTAAGTAGTTGTTCTATCCTTCAGCTTTTCACTATAGTAAAATACCTATACTGCAGTATTGGCCATCAACTTGTGTATACTGTTTGAGAAACCCAGTATCTAACGTTGTAAACTTGGTTTATTATTAATTTAACTTCAAGCCTACATCTGTGACCACAACTGCCCAGGCTAACGGACAAATGGTGGGCAGTCATACCGCAATCAGTGTTCACTAAGAAGAGGTATGTGGCATTTGGTGATGAGGATACCAAACTATGATATCTCATATCTCACAATAAGCTGCAAAAGGGCTGTTATCTCATTTGTAATAAGTTAGGTAACATTTGTAGTGTAGTCACAACTAATGCTTATTTCCTCTTTTCAATTCATAACACTAACCTTCGCCTCATAGAACCCTCATATGCATACTGAATACATAGCTGGGGTCATTTTTAACAAGCTCCTACAACTAGCTGAGTGACACCGAAACCAACACGGGGTCAACTCATTTGAATATAAAATATGATCTGGACTTTTCTGACAAATATAATTAAAAATAGACTCTTGTCATGTCTGCATATTGTAGCAGTGCGAAAGTCGTCAGGTCTATTTAAGGAGGGACTCATTTGCATGCCACTGACTGGTCATTCAAAGCACTGTTTTACTGCGGGCTATCTACTTCATCATCGACTTGTTTCTTCTCCCACACATGTTTTATTCAATATCTCATGACACAGGCTTCATGTTTTCAACCAATTAAATGTATGATAACGTACAGCATGTCCACAAAGGTGACCCCTGGCTGTCTCATGTTAAAATGACATAAAAATGGAGGCAGATAGTGAAAGAGAGAGTTTATGAACTTCAAAGTAACAACACTGTGTTTTATATTAGGAAATATACCATATTTCTTTCAGAAAGTTTCATTTTAGAATTAGGTTATTTAAAGAATATATAAATTAATTAATATATCAAATAAAGTAAAAAAAAAAAAAAGTGACCTGAGATCCACACCAAGATATGTTTTTGTTGAACTCTTGCTAACCTTGCAATTTTCTTGTCAAAGTAAAAATTTTGCATATCTTGAAGCTGCCTATCCTATTTATTCATTTATTTATTTATTACTCCATATATTCTCTAAGTAAGAATGGGTGAGTGACCTTTTTGGTGCATGCTTCTCACAGGCTGGGAGAGAGTTACATTAAGATCAGTGCATTTGTTGGTGAAGCACATCAAAGTACAGAGGGATGTCTTACCAAGCAAAGGCACTGGAGCCTGTACCACAGCTTTGATCACTCCAGGAGCTCTGATCATTAAAATATTGGATAAATAATTGATTAAAAACCACCAGACTGTATTGTTGCAGAGACTCAGTATCCAAATGTGGCTCTGTTAAGAGAAATATGGTGGATTATTTATCCATTGCACATTGTTAGGGTAAAATGTAATTTTGGATTACCTTAAAAGGCTGCACTTAAAGGATTGTTAGCCTGCAATTTTGACACATTTTATAATATACCTTCTCTATATTAAAGGATAGCAGAACTCGGACAAGAAAATAAAAAAAAAACAACTCCCCAAAAGAAACAAAATGTGTATCTAATGAAATAAATGGCGTAAAAGCCAACTTCAACTTGTATGGGTTTACAGCTATGTGATAGTTTTCTGTATTTATTTGTTTTGTATATTTCTATTTACATGTCCCTTTCTTGTTGCAGCCTATACTTCAGTAAATAGGCAAGATGGATATTAACCCACCAGCCCTTTGGGTACAGAGTGACTATGTTATCATTTTTATTTTATTTTCAATAATAACTGGCAGCATTTTCCCTCAAATCAAGAATGAACTATAAACTCACATGCTCATTATACCTGCCATTGTAAAGTGTGTGAAGTGTGAGAAGCAAAAAATGATATTCCTCTTATTATTTAATATAATATTTCAGTCACATAGTGTATAGTTATACTCTATTCGTCTGCCAAAGAGACAGAGGAACTAATATTCCTGATGCTAAGAGCATTTTCAAGCTGTGACCAGAGGCTAGCTGAAATTACATTTACTGTAGAAGGGAAAACTGCACTATATAAAGAAATAGACAAAAGACAAACTGTGTGAATATGAAGATAATAATAAGACAATTTTCTTTAGAGTTGGTCCAGTTAATCAATATGTCTCTGAACATTTACATTTAGATTTAGAAACAAAGATGTTCTCCAGGAGTGTTTTAGTATAGTGTGTTTTAATATCACATGTACAGGTACATTTATCCACCCAGGCTGTTCTGTGTGTTGAATGTGCACGTTCGACCCCTATTCACTGACATAGTCATAGTCAAGTCAAGACAATATGAGCTGTGATGTAATCACACAACTTAGCTACAGAAGTTTACAGGGAACAACAGCCACATGCTGGAATTATAACTAACCCTATTCTGATATTTTTAGCAACAATGTTCAAAGCTTCGAAAAAGGCCTGCAGAAGTTAGCGCACAATAGTTTGTGATCTTGTGTGCAAAGACTGTGATCTGATGTGAAGTTTAAGGCAGACTAACGCCTTCTAACAGGCTTTTCCCCAGAGCCTCCTGCTTTTAAGTGTTTAACACTAATGAGATCCACTGCCTCCACGGACACACAGCAGTTTATTTGGTAGTGTAAATACCTTGCATGGTGCCAAGCAGATAGTGAGGAGAAGAGACAAAGAACAGGCCATCCCCACTGCAGCCCGCCTCCTCCTCCTGCCTATTCCAGACCATTTGTTGTGACTCAAACTTAAGGTTGACTGTGAAGGCGAGCTACTCTGTGCTGTTCAAGCACAATGCTCCCCTCATGCAGCCGGGAAATAATGGTCAACTCGGACTTGTCAGCAGCACCTCTCCGTTTGCCACAAATGCCATGTGAAAAGTGGCACAGTCTGACTTGGAGAGGCTGTTAGGGGCGCAGGGAGAACGTATGGTGGGTGACAGCTCGGGTGTCTGCATGGATGAGATGCCTAAATATGTCATGAAACAGGAATAACAGGCGTGTTAGCAAGGGACTGTGAGATGTGCACAGACATAAGATGGGTTTGAATTGAGCACAGAATGAATAAATAAGTACATGTATAAATAAATGAATGAACAAATAAATAAATAAAACTAAATGTATATGTATGTACGTATGTCAACCCAACATCAGTTCAGCTTTATTTAGTTTCCCTAAAAATGTTAGTCTCCTAATCAAAAAGTAATAAATCTGCAAAAGGAGAAACATATGCCTGTGTTTATCAATGGAAATAAAATGGGATCTTCACAGGTGGTAGTGTCATTGACAAACACATACAAGCATATGCACACCTAACAACAACATTCTCCAAATAAATAGAAAAAAAAAATCTTGGACGAAGATGCCATCTGTCTAGGCACTTGAAACGATGATCTCCGCCAAGAATTAGTCGAGTTCAAGTTTACATCTCCTATATTTTCTGGCAACACAGCAGGTCTCCAACAGTGTGATAAAACTGTACCAAACAAAACACCTCCTCATC